AGTGTCAGTCGACTACCAATGTTATAAAGTGACCATCMAAGTCAAGTCAGCTTTATTGCAAAAAATTCCTTCATTTATCAATTTATCATCAGGTAATTATAGATGAGARATATATGAATCTCTTTATATATACAAGTACAATAGTTGAGTTTCGCGATTTCTTTTACGCTGCGTTGGCCTCAAACAGTGTGCAAAATCTTCAGAAATTCTGATAAAACTCGTGAAATTTTAAACTATTTCCATTGTTTTCTATACTCGCGAATCTCTTTCATTTGCAAGTAGTGTTTGGGAATAAATGAATTTATTTTGAGGCTTACACAGCGTAAAAAAGCGATCGCTAAAAGGGTTTATTGAACAATACTCCAGTTTCGAATTCATTCTTATAGCGAAAAACCGCTAGCTGCTTCATTGACAACAGATCTCTTGCGCAAAGTCCTGACAAACACAAAAGAGAGCACGAGAAAATGTTATTATTACTAAAATTAGTCTTGAAAATTGGCAATTTTCCCCGAGTTGAGATTAGTTTCCCTGTATTCCCATAAGATCTAAGGTATGAGCCTTCTGGGAATACAGGGTTTAGCCTCAACTCAGAGAAAATGTAAATAGATGAGGTGACGGTTTTGGCCGCCATCTTGGACCGGTAGGCATAGTGTCGCAAAATAACAAGGAACGGAACGGGAAATCGATGTCAAATAATTCTCGCTGAATTCAAATTCGGAAAGATTATTAATTTCAAACGTTAGATACTAAAAAAAGGAGTTACCTTGCCATCTAGGGAGCGAGAAAATTTATGTTTAGTTCTCAATACATTGCTTTGTATTTTCACGCGCGTCAAGCGCTGATGACCCCGGAAATTACAAAGAAATGTATGGGGAACTAAAATGAGTTTACTCGCTCTCTAGATCAAGTACGCCCTTCAGGTTTGGCCAGTTAACTCCTTTTTATAGTATCTAACGTTTGCAATTGAGAACTCTTTCCGAATTTGATTTCAGCGGGAATTATTTGACATCGATTTCCCGGTCATTTCTTGTTATTTCGTGACACTATGCCTACCGGTCCAAGATGGCBGCCAAAACCGTCACCTAATCTATTGTTAGCGCTATTGTACTGCTATTTTCTCATGCTTTCTTTTGTGTTTGGTATGTTGGTAAGGTCATTGCGTAAGAGAATCTGCTGTCAAATAAAACAGCGGCTATTCACTTCGAATTCGAAAATTGAGTATTACTAACGATGTGAGTACATCAAAAACTTTTGGTCCAGAAAACCAAAGGGACATGAAACGTGTAGCTCCATGCCATCCATTGGAATATTCAAATCTAATTTACACCTCATTCAGTCCTTATTTGGAACAATTCAAACTCAGCCAACCAGAGCGGGCCTTATATCTCTTATCCAACGGCGGAATTTCCCAAGTATGGTCATAACGTTCGTTTTCGAATTTTTAATGAKCTTTKAATATTCCGACGCTTGGTTACTAAAGAAATGTATGGGCGTCACACGTTCCAAGTCCCTTATAGGTTTTTGGTCTTCCTGTGGCAAAACAAGACCTGCAACATAGGAGGGTCTCAATGGGGTTAACCGTGAGCCGTGAAACGGCTAAAAAATTAGCCGTGAATCGTAAAAATGAGAAAAATTAGCCATGAAACGGCTGAACAATTAGCCGTGAGTCGTGGAAATGTGAAAAAAATTAGCCGTGAGGCGTGAAAAAGCCAACTGATTTTTAGCCGTGAGTCGTGATGCGGACCCCCCCATTGAGACCCTCACATAGATAAATAGCCATCATTGACGAGTTAATTAGTAGAACTTAAGAATCGCGGTTAAGGAAAGCTCGGCGACTAAAAAGCGGTACCGTTAAGGACTGATGCGTCTCAGCGAAGGAATTCACATGCTCAGAACTAGCAGCAAGCCCGGATTGAAAAATACTCGTCYCGTTTAAGAACATCATTATAAATTTATTGAATTCTGTGTCGTTGTTAAAAAAGCCAAAATGCAAATTTCTATAAAATTCTGACAATATATAGACAATATAGAATGTATCATTTGCATGCTCATATATCGTGAGAAGCTTTTGCATGTTACACGCTTAACGTTTACATTATTTATAACCGTTAGAACATGCTGTTGTTGCTTCTGGGTGTACTGTATTTGGGGGATGGCGCTTCATCTGAGTGCAATGCTAACACTGGACCTGCCGGTACTACTGARTGYATTGCAGCTSYACAGTACTATGGTGAATATCAGTGGGCAACCTGTCTTTCCAATGAGTACATTCAACTGAAAAGTAATCACAKRCACATCTGTGGTGACAGGTCACGAAAATATTGCTATTATCAATGTATGATTGAGGTACATGGTAAAAGTTATGGAAGGGTCTCCRGCGACTGCTCTTGTARACCAAATAGTAAACTCTGGTCAAGATTGCCATCAGCTTGCCTCAGTCCGTCTGGTAGATCATGCAGTTGGTACAGGGATTGCCTGGAAAAGAAGTACTCTTGTAAGGATACCACCAATGCTTACGCTATTAGATACGCCGAAAGTTTTTGCRACATGTATGGAAGAAAAGATCTCTTTTTGTCGCCCAAGGGACTGCACTGGACCGGTGCAGTTCGTAAGTGTCTACAAGTTGTTCTGGTGCCACTACTTCGGCCATGGCGCTCGCCATCTTGCCAGGAAATTCGTWATGAAGCACTTCAGTCGCACTTAAAGTGYTTSACCAACCCCGATGTAAACATCACTTCAGTCTGCGACTTGAAATGTTTTGAGTTCTATAAGATCTTTTATGCCGTAAAAAGATCCTTTGGGCGACGTCTTGATACTGCATGGGGATCGTTTAAGACTTTATGGAACATCCAAGACAGATGTGGATTGAAGTGTACTCGAGACTGGTTCAAACAATCTAATACTACTGTTATAAAGATAGTGAAAGTATGGATAGAAATCATGCCACAACAAAAGAARCAATCAAACCCGTACGATTCTCTTTCAGAAACAGACAGGAAAAATAGGTTCRTTGACAAGATCGTTGAATTCATGGCCAGCTCCTTAAGATGGAATTCAGTAGTCTTGGATTGGATGGCTTACCCAGGAAGCACCTCAGCAAGTCTTTACGTGGTTTTAGCCGACAAGAAAGCTTTAGGAATAGTGCAAACCTCAATCCCTTCAGTCAATTTCAACGAAATCACGGCAGAGCTGGTCGTAGCCATTAAGAACAGCACAATCCCTGTGCAAGTTGATGGATCCAATATTTGGCTGAAGTCATTAGAATCCTGCCCTGACAAAGCCTGCAGTCAGCCCCAGTTCCTCGCACATTCCAAAAGACCTCCAGTATTTCCTAATAGCGGTGAAGTACTATCAGGGAGTGTTTTTTGTGCTATCATCACAAGTTTGATCGTCGTATTTTGGTAAACAGAGCAAAACAATTCATTGTTTGCTTGGTTTAATTTTTTGTCATTTTAGTTAATACTTTTTTATATTTCTAAAATAGAATCAATATGAATAGAATAACAGCTTGCCAAAGTGTCACTGGAAATCCATTATGCTAAATAAATGTCACTTGATGTTCTAATGTATCATGCAAAATACTTCATTTTCTAATTCAAAGCGATTTATAACTTCTGTTTTATTTGACAGCAGATTCTCTTACGCAAAGAACTTACCAAACACAAAAGAAAGCACGAGAAAATGTTGTAAGTACAATAGCGCTATAAACAATTTACATTTTACCCGATTAGAGGCTAATCCACGTACAGCAGTATTCGTTCCAAGAAGGCTCATATCTTAAATCTTATGAAATACAGGGTTAGTCTCAACTTTGGGGAAATGTAAATTTTCAAGGCTATAGTGCTAACGACATTTTGTCGTGCTTTCTTCTTTGTTTGGTCAGGTCTTAGCGCAAGAGAGTCTGTTATCAAATAAACCAGCGGTTTTGTTTATTTTCACTTTATTGTTTTGTAAGAAATGTTTGGGGGGCTACCAAAAAATATTTCACAGTTTGGGTGGGGTACATTTTAGAGTACTCGTAAAAAACAACAACAGTTTTTTTTGATAAAGCACAACGTGTGATGTCATCAAATTATCATGGATTTTAAACGCCGAATTCTTCTCTGAAAATTGAAGCCTGCATCCAGTGGTGCTTTGCAAGCTATTATTCTTGTTGTTTTATTGCTTCTATTTTTCAAATCAAAATTCGCTTCATAAGCACTTTAACTGAGAACCGAGAAATTTAACTGATAACTGGATTTAATGGGTCACAAGTAAGAGCATGATAGTTAAGCGTTTAAAACTTGAAGAAAACAGTATTGTGTGYGACYTTKKKG